GGGGGGGGGGGGGGGATTCGCTGGATTTTTGGAGGTGTTTTACTAGATTTTTGGGGGATTTTACTGGATTTTAATCAACTCATCGTCTTCCCCATTTTTCTTGGCTTAAATACAGAGTTTCTGAGAGAGACAGAGAGAGAGACCATACTGATGGAGCCTTCTGTGATGAAGCTCCAGTCGATGGAGCCTTCTACGATGAAGCCTTCAGTCGATGGAGCTTCAGTGAGCTTCGGGTGCTATGGAGCTTCTATGCTGTAGAGCTTTAGTGAGAGAGAGAGAGAGAGTAAGGAGGAAATTGGCGCCAACGAGGGAGAAGTGGCTCGCCAGAAACAGCAACTGTAAATGGGATTATGAGAAATAGATAGCGGAATTGATAGTCTATTGGAGCTAGATTTTAGGGAGAAGCTATCTAAAATGGCTAACAAGGGCTGTTTAACGAGCCCTTTGGAGTTGCTCTTATATAAGAATGGCCAAAAGCGATCAAGAGCATTGAGAAGCATTTGCAGAACCACATACAAAAGAGAACTAGAACACACAAACACTACAACTATATTTTTTTCAACTACATTTATTGCATTGGTCATATGCGCATAGTCTATTTTCTAACAGTAAGTCAAACTAGTAATATCCAGTGCATCGGGGTTCTATTTGTGTTAAAGGACTTGGAACAATATCAGCCCTCGTATGAGTGTTTTCGGACAACAAAAGGTCAACGAAATAAGACAATCATCAAGTATTTCCAACTACACCCTATAGTTCATTTTTAAATAAGGAAGTGTTTGAAATAGTGTGTGTAAATTATATACTACTCATGCTGGTAAGGCCTAAAACGTATTTTCCAACTGCACCCTTTAGTTCATTTTTAAATAAGGTAGAGTTTGAAATAGTGTGTGTGAATTATATACAACTCATATTAGTGAGGCATAAATCTCCAACAACTGCAATTTCGATTCCTGCCAATTTGTGTGTTTCCAATTTCAATACCTAAATTCATGCTGCCAAACATAGCATAAAGGTTCATCAACATTGGTACGAATCAATTTTCAATAATTACTCTCTGTTTGCTAATAAAGAATCGTATTCTGGTTAACTCCGATTCTCCCAACTCAAATACAATTAAATTCCATTGAATCATAAGTGAATCTAGCTACACTGAAATGGTAAAGAAACCAAAGCAAAAGCCACCTTAGAAATTCTATAACAAATACGAGCCACTCAGAGAGGTTTAATAGATGATAATCTTCATTTTGTAGGCGATTTCTCCATGTGCAATTTCTTTTTGCTTTCTCAGTTAACAGATAAAGGTCTATGGTTCATATAGATTACATTGAGAGAAGCGAGGGGAATAGCCTTAGTTTGGGGATCAACAAGTGGAGAGAAATTTTTCTGAAGCACGTGGAGAGCACCGGTCGACGCTAACAAGGCTTCGACCTCCTGTTGCTCTGACGATTACTCTACCGATGACGATTGCCCGATTAACAATGGCAAAAATGACCTCCCGTTTCCCCATTGCTGATGGTATGGCTGATCCAGATTTGCCGAAGACGCAGATGCCATCACCTTCAACGACGCCATTTATGGAGCTTCTAGAGTTCTTTTCTCTTTGTATTTTAGGACTAATTCAGTTAAGGATCGAAAGGGACTGCGTGTGAAATTTTTGGGCCCTCCAATTGTGAGAACGCGAGTCTAGTGCACAGTTTGTGTCACACCCTGGATCGACCAGACATGTTATAGGTATTATCTTGACCCATGGAAGCATGTAAAATTTTTAAGTAATCTACCGTAGTAAAATGACCTATATCATATAAACTAAATATTTTGTACAAACACAGATATGATACATGTATTATAGTCAAACTACTACACGTCTTGTTACATAAAACAACCCACTCAAGTCAGAATTACATTTATTCTAAATACATACTTCGATTATATTTTCTAAATTGTATAAAAACTTTTGGTAGTACACTATGTACAAGTCTTCCCACTTTGACATGTCTATAAAGGGGAAGCAACGTAGAGTGAACATAAAAACTCAGTAAAGCAATTCAATTTTCAAGCAAAAAAGTTTGAAAATACATAGTTTAGCATGATTGGGAGAAAATGAAATGAGCATTTGATACATATATACCAGTAAACAACATTATTTCATGCGAAGTAGTAATAGTTAAAAAAAATGTAAAATAGAGTTCAAAATTTCAAATACAATGTTACACCGGTGGACAATCATCCTAATAGACCACTCAGGATCAATATGAACATATGATCCAATCTTTTGGGGGACTTACACCCCAAAGAAGATACGCTTCCTAGTCAAAGTTCAATACCTAAGTTGGAAGACCAACTGGGTCACCCAAGCAATTACGAACTAAGTGACAAACCCTCTACGGTCTCAGCTTAGAACGTAAACTCTCTGCCACTCAACCTGTATGCACTTACATTTCATACAAAAGGATCCCGATGTTTCAATCAATACGAACTATACAGTCATTTCGAACAGTTGTTCCTAATTGCACTCAAAACCCTAATTCGGGTTTGGATTCCAAGCCAATATTCAAATACTCAATAATATCTTTCAAAACATGCAAACATTCATAAATAATGCAAAGAATAATTTTAAAAAAAATTGAAAAGCATCGCCTACTTCAAAATTAAGAAACCTTACCCAACATAACGTTTTGATTCGAAACTGTCAAAAATGAAACGATATTATTTTTCAATGAAATTACATAAATATACTCAATTAATCTATTGAAGAGTGAATATAAAATTTATTTGCTGAAAAATCACCCAAAAACTAGTTCAAATCGACCCCCGGAGGGCAAAACAAATATTTTACTTGATATATTGATCCGGGTATCAGATTGATTTTAAATTTTACCAGGACCTTCGAACAGATGTTACAAAACTTTTGGCATTAATAATAGGTCCATCGAAAATCGAACGTACCCTCACACTCTGTCGGGGTGTCTAGTGGTCCTCTAGTCCACCTCATCTTTAACCTCTAGCCAACCCTAGGTTCCCCACTTCTTTTCCAACCACCCCACTTCTCTCATCTTTTTCTCACTACATAGTACACCATTAGACCTCTTTTCACAACCTACTCACTCTCCTCATAGTCCTTTGTAAATCCCCATAGGTGTGACACTTAGAATCTAACCCAAACCTTAAACCAAAACTTATTGAAAAATAAGAATTTCTCACCATAGTCAGACTTGCAAGTGGTCTTTTGACCCCCCAAACATCATCTAAATGCATTTTAAATGGTAGAAATGAGTTCCTTAGGTCCATTTTAGCCTAGAACCATACTCCTTTCAAATCAAAACACAATATTAACAAATTTGAAATTTTCAAGAACTCAAACCCTAACCTTAAACTTCACCTTCCTCAAACCACCTCCACCTCCACCGACCACGGAAGCACACAAAACACCACCAAACTTCATAAAAGACACTGAAAAACTATTACCAAACTCAAGATTAAACTAAAACCAAATCAACACTCAAACCTGTTTCAATACCCATTAAAATCCAAAAAACTTCCAAATGGAAGTTCATGCTCAAACAATAAGTAAAATGAGTTCTAAGCATCATAAACGGATTCCTAGCACCCTAATTAGGCTAGAATCTTATCCATTGATGCTCAAATTCTAGTCTACAGAAAAATCAAATTACTTCAAACATCATTTCTCTCTTCTCTTTCTCTTTCTCTATCTTTCTGCTGATCCTATCCTCCTCAACTGGCTAGCACAGGTGATTAACACCTCCTCATGCTTCTAGATGGAGAACATGTGATGAATGGCCTTCAAATGCAGCCAGGCAGCTACTTGGAATTGGATGCCATGCAATGAAATTTTTGTAAATACCCCCAACTCCAAAAATTCAATATATATATATATATATATATATATATATATATATATATATATATAATTACATACATATTAAAACATGCCTTATAAAATTATCCACTTAATTTTTGAAATTAAAATGAGCATATAATTTCATCTCCAAATTCCACACCCGCAACTATGACTCTCTGATTCGCGTTAAACCTACCTCTTTTGGATCTGTATTCTGGCTTCCCCCCACTTCACCAGTCAACCTTCTACCCTCTTTTAACATCCTAATCATTATCAAAGACACCCACTCACCCTTAAGCATCCCCTGTTCACAGTCCGGCTCTCTGACATCCGAATCCCTAATCCCACACACATTATTTTTGATCTGATTCTTGGTCTCCGAATCCTAGGTCATTACAGTTTGAATGTGTGTGCTGATGTGGATATAGACCCTGGAGAGAGAGAGAGAGATCAATGAGTGTTCACTGTAATTAAAGGTCAACAGGGAAAGCAAAGCAGAAAAAGATGTTTTACTTGCATTTACTGGTGGCGGCATATAATGTCACTAAAATTGATATACTGTGACAAAAAGAATATTGCAGCTAAAAAAAGGACATGTTTGCTGTAAGTAAAAGATGTTATCACTAAAATTTTATATTGTTAGTGACTAAAAATTAGATTGTTGCCAACAAAAATTTGAAATTAGTGGCGCATTAATAATATATTTTTGCTACAACATTCAAATTGCCACCAACTAGATTCACTATCATATCTTCAATGGCAACAATATTTTTTCACCACTAGTTATATATTTTTAGTGGCTATAAATAATTATGGCCACTGAATAATTTCAGTATCATACATTCAATGATAATAATAGTGTTTTGTCACTAAATATATGCATTTAGTGACAATATTTTCAAATGCAATCTAAATCGAGCGACTAAAAATATAATTTCTTGTAGTGTCATTAACTACGTTTTCACCTATAAGTTTATCACAAATTAAAATTAATTAACTAAACGTCATGCAGGGCCGGCCCAATTATTAGGTCAAAGAAGTGATCACTTTAGACCTCAATTTTTTATAAATCTTCAATATGATCCAAACCAAAAAATAAAACTCAAATAAAATTGAGTCCAAACAAAAAGGTCCTATATCTAGTTCAAACTAACAAAATTGGGCTCAAAAACCCAAAAGTGTTTTTGTGGCATAGTAAAAGTAAAAGGCACTAAAAGGCTCACAACCCATTTGGTTAAAAATATGAAATTTTAACAAAAATAAAAAAAAGTTATCTGACTCACGTGCAAAAATAAAAAAGTCAATAATCAATACTATTAATTACTCTTTCTAACCGGTTAATTACATCAATCAAACACTCTCTCCTATGTCTCTCGTGTTAAAATATCAACCTCTCTCTCTCTCTCACACACACAAACACACACGATTAATTTTTGTTTTCATCTAAAAATAAAATAAAGGTTTTCTCTCCCCTTTGGCTTATGACTGCCTTTCTAATTCACACAACAAAAATCATCAAATCAACTCCGATATATTATTTTATACTTGCACTTTCTCTTTTTCAATTTTATATTGTACAAAATATAGTATCAATCAACTTATTCTATTTTTTTTATTTTTTTATAGATAATATTAAAGGAGAATCACATTATAATATCTTAAGTTTTATTAACACTAATGATAAAATTAAGTGTTATTGTTTTATAATTTTAATTTTTATTAAGTTTTTTTTTCTTATAGAGAATATTTGATTGATTTATTAAAAAAATTGGATTGTCAAAAAATTGTGGCTACTAAAAAACAACAATTCAGATATGAGGAACTTAAAGAAAGAGAGAAAAAATAGAAAAACTTATTGAATCACAAAAAAAAAAGATCTTTTAATAAATTTATTATTAGTAATAAAAAAAATAAAGATTTAAGTGAAAGTTTGAAATAAACAAGTGATAAATCTTAAATAATTAGAAGATATTGAAATTATATGATGAAAAAATAACAAATAAATTTTTTATAATGATGGTCGAAAATGTAAATATAATAATTCTTGATCATGAAGAACTTACAAAAAAAATTATTAGTAATTTTGAATTTTAAAAAATAAAAAACATAAAATATAAAAAAAATTATATTAATTATAAAAAATTGAAAAAAAAACCCCACTTAGAATCCTCGCTTTAGGCCCCAAAACAGCTCGACCGCTCCTCATCTCACGGTGAATAGAAACAAGAAAATCATGGCAGGACCAAATAATAAAACTCATATTTAACATCAAAGCCTTGCACTTTAATAGGAACAAATAATCAAAAACAGCGCTTAAGTGTCGTAATAGAAATATAAGAGAATTTAAATATTTTCTTATTGATATTCTTGCATCTTTTGGCACTTTTTGTTAATTATCTTATATGCATTGCTACTCCAAATAGGACTTGAATTATACGCCTTCCTTTTTATGGATGGCACGAGATAGCACAAAACTAACAATTGCTGTCAGATTAAGAAGAAATTAAAATCCAAAATTCCCTATTAGATATTAGATTCAATAAAATTGATTCAAATGATCTGGAAAAAACTTATGTTCGAAAAATCACCATGCGACAGAGTCACAAGAAATATGGAATATGATCAACTCTAATATTTTTTATTGAATTTTTTAAATACATCGATTACTGTGAATTTGAATGAAATCCATAAGTAGGCCCGTCATTAATTAGTGGTGGGTAATCTACCAAAATTGGGTTTGGGTTATAGATTTAAGTTAAATAATATTGTTCTATTACAAAATCCAAATAAAATTCAAAAAGTTACATCACAAATACATATCATTCCTTAAATGAATGAGTCCCATTAATTTTTTAGAAAATGTTATATAACTCAAATGAAATCCAAAAATTAAAATTCAAATGCATATTATTTTTTGGATGAGTGTGAAATGAGTGGATCCTACTACAAAAATTAATGGAACTCACTTATCTGATGGATGATATACATTTTGATTGCAACTTTTTGAATTTTATTTGAGTTTTGTAACATTACTTTATGTAATATTGTTCAATAAAAAATTGTTGATTCGTGGGGATTGCAATGGATATATTTTGCTTACCGGGTTTCATGGGTAGTATAAACAATTGTACAAACTGATTCTCGGAGGTGTTTCTGTTTTGCGGGATAAAGAACACGTAACTTATCCAATCACCTAAAAACCAGAGTCAGAGACCCGCTTAATCTCTAACAACCTACGACCTTCTCGGATCATTACTCCACCTTTTTTTTTCTCTTTTCTTTTCAACCTACTCCGATCAGCCATTACTCTTCTCTTCCTAATCTTCCATGAACACATACTCTGCAACTACTACACTACTGGTAAGATCTCTCTCTCTATCTCTCTTTGATTCATGAAACTAGTCTATCAATAATTTCTTGGCATTCAAAATTTCAATAATAGTCATGAGATCTGAACAAAGAAAACAAAAAATGGTATGCATGAAATATCAATATCATCACCGTATGCCATATATATAAACACTAAGAATAAATTTCAGTTTTCTGGATAGAAGAAATTCTCATTGATTATTGCCAGTGATTCGAAACCATTGCAATCAACTGAATCAAACCATCCAATTAATTTCGAACGAAAAAGGCTAACAGAATAATCTCCTATATTAGAATCTCTGGGTTGGTCATTGAATTTAATTCAAAAAAGATATTTATATGAGTCCGAACTGTTTCTGATCTTTTCCTCTTGCCTTCTGTTTTATGTTTTTAATGTTTATTTTGTTCATAATGTATGTATTCATTCCTCACCACCTGCATTATGTTCTTTCATGGCTTCGTAACAGTGCATTGAAGTAACCACAAAGAAGGAAGGATGGCAACTGAACCTAATCTGTATACGCCTAAGAAGATCCTGATAACAGGTGCAGCCGGCTTCATTGCCTCCCATGTAACCAACCGGCTGATACGTAACTACCCCGATTACAAGATTGTGGCCCTCGACAAGCTCGACTACTGCTCAAGCCTCAAGAACCTGTGTCCTTGTTATTCTTCGCCGAATTTCAAGTTTGTGATGGCTGATATTTTAAGTGCAGATCTTATAAATTACCTCTTGGTTTCAGAAGATATCGACACGATAATGCACTTTGCAGCCCAAACCCATGTTGATAATTCATTTGGAAATTCTTTTGAATTTACCAACAATAATATTTACGGCACTCATGTACTTTTAGAAGCGTGCAAGGTGACTCAGAGAATCAAGAGATTCATACATGTTAGTACAGATGAGGTTTATGGAGAGACTGATTTGGAGACTGATATTGGCAACGCTGAGGCTTCTCAACTCCTTCCCACCAATCCATATTCTGCCACAAAAGCTGGAGCAGAAATGCTGGTCATGGCATACCACCGCTCTTATGGCCTCCCTACCATCACAACTCGAGGAAATAATGTATATGGCCCAAATCAATTCCCCGAAAAACTGATCCCAAAAATCATTCTTCTTGCCATGAAGGGTGAGAATTTGCCAATTCATGGAGATGGGTCAAATGTGAGAAGCTTTCTATATTCCGAGGATGTTGCTGAGGCGTTTGATGTGGTACTCCATAGAGGCGTTATCGGACATGTATACAACATTGGCACTAAGAAGGAGAGGCAAGTCATAGACGTGGCTAAGGACATCTGCAAACTATTTGGGTTGAATTCAAATGAATCTATACGGTTTGTACATGATAGACCTTTTAATGACAAAAGATACTTCTTGGATGATCAAAAGTTAAAAAAATTGGGGTGGGAAGAAAGGACTCCGTGGAAGGAGGGGCTAAGGATGACCATGGAATGGTACACGAAAAACCCTGATTGGTGGGGAGATATAAGTGCAGCCCTTCACCCTCATCCCCGAAATTCGATGGTTGTGCATTCAATTGACGATGCGTGTGTCTTACAGAGTGCAATTGGAAGTCAGAAAAAAGGTATCTCGGATATGAAAATTTTGATATATGGAAGAACTGGATGGATTGGAGGCTTGTTAGGGAAAATCTGTGAAGAGAGAGAGATAATATATGAATATGGGAAAGGAAGGCTGCAAGACAGGGAGTCACTCCTGGAGGACATAAGGAGAGTACAACCAACCCATGTGTTTAATGCAGCTGGGGTTACTGGAAAGCCTAATTTGGACTGGTGCGAGTCGCATAAGGTTGAAACAATTGGAACTAATGTTGTTGGAACGCTAAATTTGGCTGATGTTTGCCGGGAGCAAGGTCTCTTGATGATGAATTTTGCTACAGAGTGCATATTTGAGTATGATGAGGACCATACAGAAGAATCAGGTATTGGATTCAAGGAGGAGGACATGCCAAATTTCACAGGGTCTTTCTATTCCAAAACAAAGGCCATGGTAAGAATACGAGTTTGCTTTTGCATTTTGTATTCATTCATGTTACCTCAGCTTACTGAAAATTTAAGGCTTTTTAGCCTATAAAATATTGAGTACAGCCCCCCGGTTAACTTTGTCCAAAGCTTAAAATTAGTCTGAATGTAAGTTCTTGGTTGTCTATCATTACTAGTGCACAGGCCCTAGTTGTCACATTGAGCTATGAATCCTTTAAGAAAAAATGCAGTAATAGTCTAGCAAGTATGTGCTTCTTATCATTTTGATATTCATTTTTTCAATTGTATTACCTTAGTTCCTCAAATTGCACGTTAGGTCAGTCGAAAATGATGGTTTAATTGATTCATGAAAATTGTCACATGCATCTGGCATGATCACATTTGAAGGGTCACTTTGATCCCCGAACTTAGAATTTGTATCACTTTAGAATGTCCCTTAATTGTGGTCATCAGTCCCACGTTACCCTCTGTGTTAATAATTTAAATCTTTGTTTTCTATTAGACCAAAGTGAGACAAATTTGACATTCGACGGACTAAATTGATACAATTGCAAGAACGAAAATCAAATTGACACAAAAATGGATTCTTGATGGACCATTACTGTAATTTATCCTTTCTTTCAGCCAAAATTTGTGGCTGCAGTGCCTGGCGAAATTGTAGTCTAGAATTGTTGATCAAAAGCAATTTCCTGGAATTTATTGTCAATTAAATTTCTTAAATACCCAGCTCAAGAATTGTGGTGCATGTGCAGGTGGAGCAGCTTGTTAAAGCATATGACATTGTGTGCACTCTCAGAATCCGAATGCCAATATCATCCGATCTAAACAACCCTTGGAACTTCATCACAAAAATCACCCATTACAACAAATTGGTGAACATACCAAACAGCATGACTGTACTAGATGAGCTCTTGCCCATTTCCATTGAGATGGCAAAGAGAAATTGCAGAGGAATATGGAACTTCACCAATCCAGGAGTTATCAGTCACAATGAGATCCTGGAGATGTACAGGAACTACATCGACCCTGAATTCAAGTGGGAAAACTTTGATTTGGAAGAACAAGCCAAAGTGATCATAGCACCGAGGAGCAACAATGAGTTGGATGCTACGAAGTTGAAGAATGAATTCCCTGACTTGTTATCAATCAAAGATTCGATCATCAAGTATGTCTTCGAACCAAACAGGAAAATTTGAATTCTCATGAGGAATCCGAATGGATATTGGGACTTTGCATTTGAGATCAGTGTAGTAATTTTTTTCAATTGTTGTTCTCATCATTTTTTTAAGCATCTTACAATTTACACGTGCTTGGTTTGCTGTAACCTCCATATATGAATCCTCTCTTATCAATTTCAGTAATGAATTCAGTAAAAAAAATTTATCCCCATTTTTAGAACACGATGAATCATTTGTGCTTCCTGCATTTGCTTATGATTGAATGTTCTTCTCTTTTTTCCTTTTTCTTTTTTGGGAAAGGTAGATGTTATGGCGAAAATTACGTTTTTCTTCTGCAGATTTCATAAATGCAAGAAAAAAACAATTGATATCTTGTTTAGTCTTCAATCATCCAATGAAAAAAATTCCTTGCACTGCCAGATACCCATGATGTTGGCTTGTTGAAATATAACTGCGTGGTTTTGTTGGAAGATCTGTTGGTTCTTCTAAGTTGGTGTTGAACAGAATTGGATCGCCAAACTTCAATGCAAATCTGAAACGTTACAAGTCATGTAGGAATACTTTTCAAAAAATAGTATTTGTCCCCACCAAATTGTCTAAGATGTGCAAATGAAAAATCCTCAAATCTGTCCTCAAGATACAATGAAGCCTTAACTTATTTGCATCTTTGCACTAATGAAAAAAAGCTTGAATACCCACAGGAAATTATAATAGCGAAGTTCTAGGATTTTAATTCCGCAGCAATTAAAAATTTCAAATGCAAAACGAAAATGAATAAATTGTTGTGTAGAGAGAATGAGAGAAATCTGAATTTTTTAGTGTCTTTATGGTGTCTAGGCAGGTTAAGTATTTATAAAGCCATTGTGTCACATAATCCACTGTTACTGCTACATCCGTGAGTAACTGCTTGACGTAGTTATGTTTTAGTTCAATATGTCTAGATGTTTCATTATACACTTTACTATACGCCCGTGCTAGCGTTGATTTACTACCACAACGTATAGATATGAGAGGCATTGGTTTATGTCAAACTAAAATTTCTAATGGCTTGGACTGATCTTGCATATCAGTTGTGTTAATGGGCAGAATTGGTTTCATGCTCTGTTTTTTATCTCCCAATGTATTCTTGTCAACAATTCTGTGGGAGATGCTCTTACTCAGGGCATCTTTTACAGAATTGTATTTTGAGCTTCGGCCTTTTGAATTTTTTTTATGTTTGTCTTTGAATCCTACGCGACTTTATTGTACATTTTGTGGGTGATTATTCTTGTATTTCTGTTTTATTTTAATACACTTTACCTTCCAAAAAACAAAATTTCTAATAATAAACTCCTCAACCATTTTGTCTTTTTACCATTTGCGATTAGTGCACAAGAAACAACACCCCCTCCAAGAGTGAATATTCATTCACTTGTTGATGTCTAATCTTCACGATCAGTTATTCAACTGTCATTCGAATATCGCTCTCGAATTGTAGGATATCAACTACAGAAAATATCATAATCCTTAGTTCCTTTTAAATATTTTAATATTCTATTTATAGTATGCCAATGCAATATCTACTAAGTTTCCCTATAGCAAATAAAATATCAAGTCTAATGCATGTTATGACATACATTAAACTACTAATAATTATATCATGTTGTAATAGGGATACTACTCTACCATTGTTTGGAAACAACCTTATTTGTGATTCAAAAGGTGTGCTTTTAGGTGTGTAATCAAAATAATCAAATTTCTTAGCTATCTTCTCAATGTTATGTGATTGAAAAAATATCAGATTGTTATCTTGTTTTATTATTCTAATTCCTAAGATAACATCTGCAACTCCCATATATTCCATGTTAAAGTTAAAAGACAATAGATTTTTAGTAATATTAATACTATCCAAGTCAGTACCAAGTATTAACAAGTCATCTACATACAAACATAATATCACACCTTTTCCATTATCAAATCTACTTTATACACAATTATCCGATTCATGAATTTTAAAATCATTTGAAACAACTATTTCATCAAATTTTTCATGTAACTATTTATGTACTTGTTTAAGACCATATTGTTGGATTATCCTACCCTTGAAAACCAATTTTGACATTATGTTTGATTTTCTCTTTAATTTTATCCATGTTCATTGAGCATTTTATCTTTCTTATGATGCATGAGAAGATGTCATGGTCTATAAGTTGCATTTGAGATAGATTATATATGCAGATGAGATTTGCATATAGAGAGATATAATCTCACCACGAACTTGCAATTTAAAATTGTTCATAGTTTTAATTGAAACTAGACACTTTATTTAGTAGATTGTAACACATAATAACCTCTGTAACAGAATGGTTTATCTCAACCATTGGAGTAGTGGACTCAGGGTGTATGTGTTGATGTGCTTGGAGTACACTGAAAATGATCAAATATAAGAACTCATCAGGATAATCATCATTGATGTGGTTCTGAGAGCTGCTAATTGCAAAGGAAGTCTAAACCCTGATAGAATAGAGAACTCAATCATTAGTGGTTTTCACTTTGAGTTACCAATGAGTGAGATCCTATGTGGTCAATACCTCGGTATCTTGGGGTGGTCACTGTTGAGGAAGTGAGAACTCTAATTCTTAATATAGTTTCCACATCCTCTTAAAAGGAAAAAGGTTATCCCCTTGAGACGGTCTATGAATTGTGATCACTATTTGTCTGGGCCCAATTTTGTTTAGTAAATTGTTTGCTAAATGAAGTTTATATATGTATATATAGAATTAGTTCTTTTGAAATATTCTTTGACAAAAGAATTTTGTCCATGATGACGGGTGTTTGGATTTGTTAATCAAGGATAAAAAGATGTAAATAAAATTGAGATGACAGTATACATAACCCAACTAATTTATGGATACCTGTATGTGGGGATTTACCTTTGCAGAAAATTAGTAGGAAAGGGCCATATTATAATTTCCTATTCTAAGAGTGCAATCACCATCATTTAGTGGAGTTGAGGGGTGATTTATTAATTTCCTAAATTATCAAGGAGTTGATGTGCAATTTGGAAAATTAGTAGGAGCTTGGAGATAGGAAACCTAGTTATCCCTATCTTGCCCTACTGTATAACACACTACATATATGATGTATAGTGATGGCCGTTTGACATAACGTTCGAGAGAGAGAAATAGTGAGCCTGCCCCCAGGCTTGTGTGGCCACATTTGTGTTTTAGGGTTGAGGTAGAAGACCTTTAGGTCTTGAGGCATATTGTCTTCTCTACACTCACAAGTTTAGATCGTGTTCATGATTCAAAGGGGAGCAGGGAGAACAGTTCAAGGAGTTCTTGGACGGCTTTCAACTTCTAAAAAAGTGCCTCGCATAGTTGGTTTGCTGCCAAAGCTGCAAAGGTGAAGAGTTCAAGTTCAACCACTCTTTTCATAAATTAATTCGTAACTGTGTGATTTTGATTCTAATTTTTTTTTTTAATAAAAAAATCGCTTTCGCTATGATTTTTTTGAAGTTAACATTTGGTATTAGAACCTCTAACTCACATGCTTGCCATTGATTTATGGTGTTGATAGCATATTCTTTAAATCATGTTTGATGATTACAGTTAATGTGTGTGCTGTCCATGGACTGTGTTTTGTTAAATATGAGATGCTTGATAGTGAATACGCAATAAAATGGTTGCAAAGAAAGTTAGAGCAATGTATGGAGACCCTTTAGGGTTTCGGGCATGCATGGTGGCTAACTAGGATTCCATGAAATCCTAGCTTCTTTCTTTGTAAGTTTTTGTTGGAACTCAATCTAAACATAATTAAAAATAAACATCTATCCGACAAACTTTATAAACATGAAATTAAGGAGAATTGTCACACTTACCTCGAATATCGTTCAAATGAAGATAACAGTAAATTTCATAACACAAATAAAGTACTTGGCTTGGGTTGAGTCATGGACTAAGTCGCTCTCTTTAAGACAGTTCATGCCACTACGGATAATATGTCCGGTGTAATAGATCACAACACGCCGCATTTAGGATATAACAACCCAGCTACTCACTATAACTTCTCTAGGTCTACGCAACCTTGAGAAATAGAAACTTTATGCACATCTTTCTTTACCCCAAGAATATAGCATAATGTACCCCACAAAAAGAGAAGAACAAGACATATGAACTTCAAACTTTGTCACCCATACAGTAGAAACATCTATACTACTTTAAAAAGTATGTATATTTGAAAAACTTTTATTTTCCTCTTTTACCCTCTAACATTTCTTAATTATCTAAATTACCATGAATAAATATATTATAAAGACAATACAATACACTATTTATTTCTTATATTAATATCATTTATGACATACTCCTCATGTTCTACTTTCTCCATTGAATTATCAATTTATGAAACAAGAGAGATGAAGGGACACAACTCTTAAAAGTTTGTCCCTCTTTCTCTATATATAGAAAACAAGAAGTTGGACAGACTGTATACTAAAAAAAAAAAAGGTAAAGACAATATAATTTTAAGGATATAAAATGTTTGATGGTCGGAAGTGAGTGGTTCACTGCCTGTAGCCGTTATATAAGGTTTTTGACCTTCCCATCCTAAATTCAATAATCACTCTCTAACATTTTCATGTTGTCTTTCTATTACTCTTCCCCCTTTTCATATCGGCTTTGTATTTCTCTTTCCGAGCGCTTTTTCGATCTTCAATCACTTTTTTCTTGATTTTTGAATCTAATATTTGTGGGTCTTGTTGAAACTAGGTTTGTCTTGGTTAATGGTAGGCACAACATATGGAGAACTTTGTTAAGACATGTTGGATAAATATAACTGCATCAAGGACCAATGCAAAGACAACTTATTTGACACTGTTGGATAATAATTTTGAAGAATGTGAAGGTTGCTTGATGTCGTCCAAGGATTGAAAGGGTGGTTATATGCTACATTCTTATGATCACATTCCTCAAGTTTATCTCAAATTATTCTTTTGAATTCTTGTGGTTTGGTTTTACTTATTGAATGGAGTGAGTGATTGAAAATTTTGTAGCATGGGAAAGAATATGCCAAAATAATTGATGGATTGTAGTAGAGGATAGAGTCAAGTATGTTGATCAACATACCCTCAAATTAAACAAAATCATGAGATAAGTGTTTTGACTCATGAAATGAAGATTGATGTTAAGTTGTTATCTTTTTTATTGTTTTAGATTTCTATTAATTTTGTTTGTTGATTGCATGTTTCTTATTAAAAACAGAAGGACATTCCAACTTGGGATCCGTTAGAAACTTGCTCTTAATTTTATCCAATGAATGCCATTGTATTTAAAAAATTAAACCAAGCATGATTTACCAATTTATTAGCAATGAAATACTTGTGCGAGTTGTTTCGACTTTAGTGAGTCTTCTAATGTCAAAAGTAAGGAGTTGTTTTAAGACCAATTAGGAGTATCGATACTTTTGTCATGCTTGTCTTACGCTTTAGATTTTTTAATTGGAGTAGGTGATGTATTCGAGTTTCAAATATTTATACAATTATTTGTAGTTTAGTAACATTGCATATCATTTATGTTTGTTCAAATTTTTTTAATAACATTGCTGAGGTTTACCAAAGAATGTGATTTGGGTCACAACATAATATTTTATTATTGGTATTTAGATGATATCATTAAATAAATTGGGGTAATACCACACACACCATAAAGAATTGATAAATATTTTTTAATTGTTTAATAACTAGAGTAACATGATTGTTTATGGTCTCTAATTAAGAATTAACATTCTTTTTACCCATATGCTAGATAAAATTTTAAATAAAAAAATAATCCTATGATTTTTATTTCAGTTTCTGGTTTTGTAAACCCCCACACTCTTATCTTAATATAACAAGTAATCATTTCTTTTGAAATGCTAATATGGTAAAACCCGGGTAAATATATGAAATCGTTTGTAATAGAACTTGCATCAACTATATTTGATGTCCAAATGTATGTTGTATAAGTTTGGGTTGGTTTTGGAAGGATATGGAATGGATTGAAAATGAAAAATAAAGGAAACAAGCAAAACTGAACAGACTGTACCAGTACGCCCGGAAGTTTCCGTATCGGTATTCTACTATCCAGAGAGTTTTACCGTACCGGTATTGCATACCGGTATGCTCTGTAAGTTTCAGAAATTTTAAGTCGCGATCTGGGGTCCATTTTTCACCCTATAAATACATAATGACGCCTCCTTTAGTCCCATTTCAACCTTTCTAACCCTAGGAAACCTTAGAGAGAAAGAAAGAAGGGAAAACAAAAGAATTTTATTTGAATTTTAATTTTATTTGAAGGGAAAACCTCCTTAATTTTATTTTGTTCATTAAGTTAAACAATGGACTTATGTTCTGTTTCATTAGTTTATGATATATTCATTTGAATAAAACATTCTTTAATTGATTCAAACTTGTGAAGGGCATAGTTTGAACTAACATTATCAGTTCTCGATCTTTAAACTAACATTATCAGTATAACTATAAGTTTAGATTATTCACGTACAACACATGTGTGCACAAACTAGTATATATTGGTGTATAAAATATATAACTCATTGTCCAAAATAATTGATTCATTAATTCTTATTATAAAACTCAATTATTTTGGTCTTCTTAATTTATTGACCAAATTCAATATAATGCTCATCATAATAATTCTTACAACGAATATAATATATGTAACTTATGGACTATTAAATTTCACCATTATAGTTCTCATTATATAGATACTACTTGTCAAACTTGTAATAGGACTTATAAAGATATAAATAAATTTGTATAATCAAGTCAAAATGAACATACAAATAAAAGTAAAATTATTGCAATATTAATTAGATAAATAATAAAGGCTACTTTATTTTTATCAAAATATTCCAACAGTTTTTGTACATATTCATCTTCCTAGCATAGATGTATGGGTAGGGCCCGTTTTGCAGCAATATACATATCTCTCATAAGCCAAACCTTTTTTTTACGGTTTAATGGATCGAGGATTGTAAAGGGCTGCCCATTGGGTTGTTGTCCCGATTTTAATCTTCTTCTTTCTCTGTTTCTTTAGATATTTTGTAAACTCAATGAGAGGGAGTATAGCATGATGTAAAGTAATTATTTTAATCATGGTATAATGTGTCTTGAGTGAAAAACTAACGCGAAAGAAGAAGAAAAAGATCAGTGCAGTTTTTCTGCACCTGTTTTGGTGCTGTTTTTGAATCACTTTGCTGCAGAATTCAGCCAACATTTGCAAGGTTTTGTCCAGAAAATTCCAGCCACGTTGAAGTCTTTTTTATTGGTGTTCATCACGGTTTTTGCTGCTGTGCATTTGAACCAAGAAAGATCAAAACTCTGGGCTGCTCTGTAGTTCACTACTTCAGCCTCATAGCTACTTTTTTGGCTGCAAATCTGGTCCGTAAATGGGGTCTTCCATATGAGGATTTTGGCCAGATTTGAGTTCCTAATTTGGTTTAGCTATGAGAGATTTGGTGCTTTAATTTTGCACTAGTTTCCTATTCGGGTAAAATATATTTTTGGTCTCCAAAGTATTCAGTTAGTGTCTATTTGGTCTCCAATCTTTCAATTGTATCAATTTGGTCC